CGCCTTAAAAATTCCAATTTAAACATATATCTGGACAGATTATATTATTTTGACTTTGTTGCTTCACATTTTCGTCTGTCCTCTTCAGCGCCTTCAAGGAAGTCCCGCGAAGTGTGGTCCCCGTGATCTTCTTGATTTGATCCACCCATCGGTTTGGGGATCTTCCCCTAGGACGTGTACCTTCAACCTTTCCTTCTACAATAATTTTTTCCAGACCTGTTCCTCGTCTCACCACGTGCCCGAAGTACTGGAAGATTCTGTCATAGGTTGTCGTCGACAGTCTTCTCATTATTTTAAGCTCCTTTAATATGGACACATTTGTTCGCATATCCGTCCATGGTACCCGGAGAATCCGCCGCCAGCACCACATTTCAAAGGCCTCAATCCTCCTTCTGTCCTTCTCCAAAATGGTCCAGGCTTCGGACCCGTAAGAAAATACAGGGAACACAAGACTTTGCACTAGCCTCTTCTTAGTGTTAGTTGTTATGTTTTTGTTTTTCTACACCCCATCCAGCCGCTTCAGTGCCTTCCTCGCCATCTCGATCCTTTGTCTGATTTCCTCTGTGCAGCCACCGTTGTTGACCAGCAGTGTGCCCAGATATACATACCTGTCCACGACCTCACATCTGGCGACCTCCCGTATATCTGGACGATTATTATTAGCACGATCAACAATCATGACTTTGGTTTTCTGCCGATTCAATGTTAATCCAATCGCTTGGCTGGCTTTCTCAACTCTTTGAATCATTTCGGCCAGTTCTTGTTCCGAGGACGCAATTAGCGTGGTGTCATCGGCATAGCAAAGGTTGTTGAACTTCTTACCGCCAATTGATACTCCCTTGTCCCAATCATCTGGGCTTGCCTCATTGCAAACTTTTCATAGATGTTGAAGAGCAGCTGCGATAGAATGCATCCCTGCCGGACACCAGCTTCTGTAGAGAAGGTTGACGAATCTCTATTATTTATCCTTACTCTCTCCCTCTCCCTCTCTTTCTCTCTCTCTCTCTCTCTCTCCCCCTCCCTCCACAATTTTTTGACTTTTCGGGTAGAGTGTTGGCGACTCAGGGGCGGGCGCGGTCACAGGAGCAGGCTGAAACCAACGTGCTGCTGGAGAAACTATTTAACCAATTGAAAGATTCAGACGCTAAGCTCTCAGCTTTTATAGAGGACCAGGGGCGTATTAATAGAGAAATTAATGACAAATTGAATAAACTAGATCTCATTGCAGACACGGTTGCCCAGAGTGCGTTACGTATCGATAAGCTGGAACAGGAGAGGTCAGCTCTTGCTTGCGAAGTCCGGAATCTGAAGGCCGCTCAGTCTGTTCCGTGTGCCCGTGACGAGAATGAGAACAAATTGGTTGTCTCGGGAGTTTCCAAGGAGCTGTCGATTACTCCTTCAGAGTTGGTCGGTAATATTTTTAAAGCGCTTGATATCCCAAATCTTTCTAGCCACGTTTTTAATGTCAGATCTATGGCGCGGAAACGGCAAGCGGTTACAACTTCTGACGGTTCTTCGGGTCCTACCGGTACAGACTCGTTCGTGGTCACTCTAACCTCTGGTGCGGTCCGTGATACGGTGGAGTTCGGTTCGAGCAGCCACGGTGATCGGACGTGTTTCCGTTTCTGTCCCGAGTTGATCGTAGAACCTATCCTTCCTCGCAGTGGTGATTTTAATCGCTTGCGCTTCCTGTGCTAGATTGCTTGCTGCTTTCAGGCCGCTTTTTTGTTTGTAGTCTTTGCGCTCCCCTCTTGGAGGGGGAGCCGTAAATTTTTCTCGTAGAATTGAGATAGTGTTACATGGCGGATCCTTCGGATCCTTTGTCGAAACTCGGTAACCCACGTGCTCCCGGAAATAAGATACCGGGTAAATCAAAAAAGCGAATGAGAGTCGATGTAACGGAACAAGATCTCGATTCGGCTTATCAAAGAATTATGGAAGGCGATTCAGCTGTGGACGCCGTGGGACAGGATGAGAGTCGACGAGGGATACCACTGCCAGACGGACGGAGGGACGAGAGGACTAATGCAGGAATGGATTCCCTGCATCATCAGGAAACCTCAGACAATGCGATGGATACGGAGGAAAGTAACGTAGTAATTAATTCTGACACCCGCGCAAGCAATCTTTTTATAAACAAAGCTGCCGCGGTTAATAGCACTAAGAATGCTGACGACTCAGTATCTACGCTTATCGACTCTAGCAATAAGGAGATAGTTCTATACGCCCGATCACGTGATCCGGCCGTGTCTAATGTTATTGACGAGAACAGAGAAGCATACTCTGTTTACGATGGTAAGTTGAAGAAGTGTACACAGCAACAACTTCGCCCGATGATTACCAGATACGACAACAGCTTTCAAGGTAAAGCAAAGATTACAATTAAATTACCCCCCAAACAAACGTCTGCAAGAAAGGGGAAAAACTTAATTAAAATATGGATGCATTTAACGAACATCCGTATCTGCCCCTCCTCTCTGGAGATGTTGAACCACTATTCAGCTGAAGCGGAATTTATTGATTATCTCGAGGCCAATCTGGCCCTAGAAGCAATAGAAAAGATCCCGAGTAAATTGAAAGCGTTTATGGAACAACGATCCATGATAAAGGGCGTCATCGCGGATTGGCCATCCTCCATTAAAGATTTTTGGTCGGTAATACAAGATAGAACGGGAATTATCGGCCTGGAGCGTATGTACCGACGCAAATGGGACAGTACTGAGAAGAAATCTATCTTATCGGAAACGGACAATATTATTGTTACCTTCAAGGGAGTCGGTATCAGAGAACTGAAGATATTTTCCAATAGTGTGGGCTTGAAGGTTAGGCCTTTTGTACCGCAGACCAGGCAATGTTTCAACTGTTTCAGGTTTGGACATACAAAAATATCCTGCAAAAGTGAGTCCTATTGTATCGTATGTGGTGACAAATCACACGGCCAATGCGAGGAATCTGTCAAGTGTCGCAATTGTGGTGGCCTCCACAAATCGACTTTTAGAAACTGCCCTGTGTTTGAAAAAAACAAACAAATTAATATAATTATGGCTCAGAAAAATGTATCTTTTTTCAGTGCTAGACGCATTGTAGAGGGAGGCGATCGCGTTACCCCCCCTGCGGATGTTAGAACGAGCGAGGGATTATGGCCGAGATTACCCTCCTCGAGGAAGGGCACGTATGCGGAGATGGCCCGCGGCATTAGTGAAAACCAGGACAACCGACGTAACTCGGAGGCGACCGTATTTTGCCCTTTTGAATACAAAAGACGCTCCATGGACTCGGAAAGGAGGCGGGTTCCTCCGCACAACCCTACCCAAGATTATTATAAACAGTTTGATCCCAGAGCAGGTGACATCAATAAGGAGAAACATGGTATCATGTTCACGTCGGCCAGAAATGGAGCGGCCTGGTCGAACACTATCACCACTCAACCAACGGGGGACGCCCCACCAATCAATTATGTACCACAGGTGCCTCAGGACGTCGCTGACGGAATGAAGGAAATGTTGCCGCTCCTCAGACTACTGAAGGAGTTGATGGAGAAATGGAACGATAGGGGTGGGCCCCCGCTCCTTCGTGAGTTAGGTAATCGGTCTGAGCCCATTGAAGGGAGGTCTTTCCTCCCCTCGACATAGCCTTCAGACTCTTACTTTGGAATTGTCGAGGTTATGGGACTAGTGCTAATGAATTGTCTAGACGTGTTATGGAATACGACATTGTTGTATTGACCGAGACTAGACGTTCTGTCGATAAACGTATATACTTTTCAGGTTACAAGACAATTCAAAGCAGGAATGTGTTGAACAGTGGCGGTGCATCGATCTCGGTACGGAAGGGCATCGAATTTGATGCTATACCATTATCGGATGACATTCCCTTCGGCTACGACATTGTTGGCATCAGGACAAAGAACTTGGATAACAACTGTAGCATTATGGCGGTGTACAGGCACCCACGAGGGGTCCTCACTGAGGCGGATATTGATGTGGTTGCGGACCAAGTCCCTGGTACTCTGGATTCGATCATTTTAGGCGACTTTAATGCCCATAACTCTACTTGGAACTGTGACTTTACTACGCCTAGTGGCGAGGCCCTACATGACACATTGCTGGATAGAGGCTACTTCTGTATTAATACAGATACCAAGTCAAGGGTTGGCACGAGAGGACAACGTGACTCTAACATTGATCTGGCCTTTGGTTCGGCAAGTATCGTGGACAAGGCAGAATATGAACAACTGGAAGACGCCTGGGATAGCGACCACTATCCCATCTCCTTTACTGTGGATAGTGAACCTCAGCCTTATAGAAAAATCACTAATAGAATTACGTCAAAGAAGACGAACTGGCAAACGTTTTCTAAACTCGTTGACGAGGCTATTAAGAAGGAACTTCTCCCTTTCATTGACCATTTTTCCGAGGATGTCGATACATACTACAGGCGATTTATTGATATTCTCAGATCGTCGATCGACCATGCATCCGGCAGATGCAAGACTCTGGGGTCCCCTGATGTCAAGATGAAAAAGCATAAGGTTCAACATAGATGGTGGGACGTGGATTGCGACAGGGTCATCCAAGATAGAAAAAAAGCGTTTTCTGCGTTTAAACGCTGTAAATCTCTTAGTACATGGGATAGTTATAAACGAGCATGTGCACTGGTCAGAAGAACGATCGCTGATAAAAAAAAGACATGCTTTGAGGAATTCTGCGCTGGAATCAACCGGTTCACTAGCCTGACTTACGTTTGGAATACCATCAGGATTTTGAAAAACGCTAGGAATAATGTTCAATGGAATACCTAGAGTGTCAAGAACAGAGAGGAGGGAATAAGGAAATCTATCGACAAGCTGGCCCCTCCCTTCGCAAGATCAGAGCCGACGCCTTTCGGCATTGATTACAGGGATGATTCCTTGAGTTCCGTTCCGGAGATCGGAATTGGACAGAGCCATCAAGATGATAAAGAAAAACTCTGCCCCGGGGCTGGATGGAATCGAGTATAGGATGATCAAGGAATTGCCTGACACAGCCCTTGAATGTTTGTTGGTGCTATTTAACTGTATATGGCTCTCGGATTCGCTGCCTGAGGATTGGCTCCATTACCAAGTGGTTTTCATCGACAAGCCTGAAAAAGAGAAGGTTCGTCCGATATCCCTATCGTCTTGTGTCGGCAAGCTGTGTGAACGCATGATAAACGAGCGTCTCATATGGTGGGCGGAAAGTGCACACAAATTTAATCCATCTCAGAACGGTTTCCGCAGGGGAAAGTCGTGCGCTGACAATCTAGTTAAGATTGTGTCGGATATCCGTGCTTCTATATCCTCGGGTGAGTACACACTGGCTGCGTTTCTCGACGTGTCGGGTGCTTACGATAACGTCGAGTTCTGCACTATGATTGAGACTCTTATTGCGCTTGAATGTCCCGCGGGCATGGTCAGATTTATACGTAAATGGCTATACCGGAGACTTGTACGTTTTATTGTTAATTCACAAGAATTCATAGAACGTCTTGTTTATATGGAACTCCCGCAGGGCGCCGTACTCAGTCCTGCTCTGTACTCACTTTACACGGGGAGAGTATGCACTGACTTACCGGAGGGTGTACAATCATGTGAGTTTGCTGACGACATTGGACTTGGACTTTACGTGTGCGGTCCCAACAGACAACGTAATCGGGATCTACTCCAACTGGCGGTGAACTTGGTTGCTGAAAGACTATGCCGTATCGGACTTGACTTAGAACCGCAGAAAACCGTCATTGTGGAATTTAATAAATATGGCCTGTACAATGAGAACCAGAGTATGGTGATTCAGGGATGCGAGGTGTTCTACAGTCGGGAATCGAAGTTTCTGGGTATCTGGATAGATAACGGATTGAAATTTTCCCATCAGATCCAGGAAGTTTGGAGTAAGGTCGACAGAGCGAATGCGGTCATTCAATATTTATGTAGAATCTCTAAAGGCCTAGAAGTTAATACGGCTTTGATGTTGTACAAGAGCTTGGTTTGTTCGATTACAGATTATGGCAGTTTCGTTTATCACCCCAGGGATGCCAACTCAGTTCTCAAGCTAGAAAGGACGCAATATAAAGGCATTAGGACGGCCTTGGGATACCGTAATAGCACTCCGAATAATGTTATCGTGGCGGAGGCAAAGGTCAGACTGTTGACAGATCGTGCGGAGATGCTCGCCAGGAATTATTTATATAAAGCTATGGCTCACAATTTGGACGGTGTATGCGACAGAATCCAGAGGGCTTACGACTCTGAATTGCGGGTGCGCTACCGTCAACCAACATACTTAATGTCCCTTATGTCTAGAGTGTGGAGGAGATGCGCTCCTGTCAGAACACTTATTGGTCCACAGAGAATTCACGAAACGTTTTGGGAAGAATTCGAGGCGCATGATTATGTTCCTGTGGTCGATTTTACTATTGGACTTTTGAGGAAGGGTAACAGTGAATATTCAGATGCTTCTATGATAGAAGACATTATTGAGAAATACCAGCTGAGCAATGAGGCGGAGATTGTATTTACGGACGGATCGCATGGCCCCGACTGGCAAGCTACGGGTGATAGTATCGTTATAGACGGGCAGGATACCGCCTATAAAATCAGTATGTCTAAGGTCTGCTCGTCATATACTGCGGAGATTTTCGCTATTAATGCGGCGCTGAAACTCGTGAAGACATCACGAGAGACAAGAAATAACCACATTGTTATTATGTCAGACTGTAAATCGGCTCTTTCTGCAGTTCAAAACAATCTTATTTCAGTTCACAAAAGCAAATACGCGGTGGAGACTAGATTGCTCATTTACTCACTCGAAAGAGAGCGCAATATGAAGATTGTACTTGTGTGGATTCCCGCCCACGTCGGTATCGCTGGGAATGAGCTGGCCGATGGTCTAGCTAAGGAAGCGGCGCAGGAACCCCCAGATGAGAGCATCGAGGTCCCGACGGGGGATCTTATGGCAATGGCAAGGGAGGAAACTTGGCAGGCTACTCAGGCTTCTATCAAACGAGATTCCGTCTTCAAGGGCAAACTTTATTTTTCAAAGTTCTATGATGAAGAGGCCCGCAAGCCGTGGTTCAGTGGAATTAATGCCGAAAGATACTACGTAACGCTTATTAATAGGATTAGAGCGGATCATTATAATCTGGGATCTTCGCTCTTCAGGAAGAACTATATTGATACGCCACGATGTGAATGCGGATATGAACGTGAGGACTTGATGCATGTTATTCTACGGTGTCACAAGTACGATGATCTTAGGATCAAGTTGGATGAGGATCTTAGAGCCGTGGGTTACCTTGCGGAAATTAATGTCTATAGTATGATTAAGAATAGAAATTGGAACCTGCTTTATTATGTTTTTAAATTCCTTAAAGGAACAGGCAAGATTATATAGCGTGCTTGCACCTGCACTTGTTCCAAAATCCTTATCAGGAACGGTCTACATTGTTTGTGCTAGGTTGTCATTGACAAAAGGCACTTATCCTCCCTCACCCGAGGGAAAATCCAAAACCCCCCGTGATACGGTAATTGCTAGTAAGAAGGCGAAACGGTCTCTTAAACAAAATGAGGTGTGTGATGTCGACTCTAACCGGAACATTTATGTAAATGAACTGCTATCCAGGGCCACGTATGACTTATTGCAGCAGACCAAGCGGATTGCTAAGGAGAAGTCTCATAAGTATGTCTGGACGAGGGGGTGTCGAATATGTGTCAGATCATCTGACGGCGCCCCAGTTACTTATATTGACTCTGACTCAGACCTTGCTAAATTGAATTGATGTGGCCGTGGGCGTAACGCGACTCCCCCTGCTGTTCGTCGCGCTTCAATACAGGGCCTTCGGCTGGCTCAGTTTAATGCAAACTCGCTTCGTGGTCACATTGACTTAGTAAGGTTACATTTCAATACAAATGTTCATCATATTATCTCCGTCTCTGAAACGTGGCTGAATGCTGAAGTCGCTGATGATCTCGTGGCCCTGGATGATTATTTTCTGATTCGACATGATCGTGTAGGCAGAAGAGGCGGTGGAGTTGCCTGCTATGTGCATAACTCACTGAAGGTTGCAGTTATTGCTACTTCTGCAAGAGTTGATGTTGATGCTCCTGAGTATCTCATCTGCGAGATCCGTCTACCTAACAATGAGACTATATTATTTGCATCTGTCTATAGGAGGCCAAAAGGTCTTCTTCTAAATGAATTTACAGAAACACTTCTTAGTGTTTTACACTTATATAAGAACATAATTATTGGAGGAGACTTCAACTGCAACCTTCTTACAAACAACTTTGAGGCTAACTACTTGCGCGAACTTATGTCGAGTATGGCAATGCATATTGTCCAATCGGGAGCTACGCACCACACGGCCTCTACTGACTCGTGGCTTGATGTTTTACCGGTGGTTGACAGCGAAAAAATCTTGTCGTTTACTAGATCTGAGTGTCCGTTTATAGCTGGTCACGACCTAATCGAATTATCACTTACCCTGGGCACAAGCCTGGCGATTGACCGTACCATTGTAAGACGTTGTTATAAATCTATTGATTGTGATGAGTTCCGTGATCATCTTCGCTTTGTAATTGAGAATCCTATGTCCGCTGCGGTTGGTGACAAAGGTGTGAGACTGGATGACCAAACCGGCGTTGGTGAAACTGAGAGGCTCTGTATGAGACTGTCGGGAGCTTTACTTTGAACACTTGATGTGTTTGCCCCTAAGCAAGCATTTGTTATCAGAAGGCCTCCGGTGCGATGGCTTACGGACGAGCTTAAAGCTCGAATTCGTACTCGCAACCAGCTATACAAGCAGGCAAAACGTTCCGGCAATTTACTTGACTATGCCACTTATAGACACTTCAGAAATCAACTTAATTCGGATATCAAACGTGCCAAAAATAAATTTCAACTTAACTCTCTCAAAAATATTACTGACCCTTCCAAACTTTGGAGAGAACTAGCGCGATTAGGTCTTGTAAATTCGACTTTGGTCTCTCCTTTACACTTTTTTGCGCCCAGTCAATTAAACTCTTTTTACGTTTCAGTTTCCAATGCTCAAACACCTTGCTTGTATGCGGACTTTATCTCTGCTGTTTCTTCAGTGACTCGAACATCTCAGAGACCAGAGTTTGTGTTCTCTGCTGTGACACCTGCTATGGTTCTCAAACTTATCTCGGCAGAACCGCTCCATTCTTATGCATCTGGCTCAGATGGAATATCACTCTATATTCTGAGGATTGCTTGGCCTATAATCTCGTCGCATCTCATTGCTTTGTTCAACTGCTCACTGCAAACTTTCTCTTTTCCATCTCAATGGAAGCGTGCGATGATCCGCCCCCATTCAAAGATTCGTATACCATTATCCCCGTCCGATACAAGACCCATAGCCAATCTACCAGAGCTGTCGAAATTACTTGAGAGGATTGTTGCCGCACAAATTACAGAATACTTAATTGAACATGACCTTATAAATCCCAGACAGTCTGCATATCGGCCATGTCATAACACACAGACAGCACTTCTGCGGGTTTGCGACGACATCAAAAGAGGGATTGAAAATGGTCTTATTGTAATTATGATCCTCTTTGATTTTAGTAAGGCGTTTGATACGGTCCCGCATCTCAAGCTGCTAATCAAGTTAAAGGAGATTGGCTTTTCAGATGCTGTCCTTATGTGGACTTTCTCTTTCTTGACTGGCCGCTATCAGTCTGTAGTTGACGATGCTGGGAATCTCTCTGAGTGGCTACATACGTCATCGGGCGTTCCTCAGGGCTCTGTACTCGGGCCACTTTTATTCTCTCTGTACATCAACGATATAGGAGGAGTGTTACAGCATGCACGCCATATGTTATTTGCCGACGACATTCAAGTGTATCTCTCATGTTCTCCTGCCAACATCCGCCATGGATTGGAGTTAATAAATAGAGATGCTATTGCTATCTTTGATTATGCAGAATCTAATGGTCTGAAGCTTAATCCGGCTAAATCGAAGGCAATGATCTATGGTAGTAATGCTTATGTGAGGAATATCGACCTTAGCCTTCTACCTCCCATTATAGTAAACCAGGTTCCCATTCCATTTGTTAGCGAAGTGAGGAACTTAGGGGTGGTTTTTACGCCTACTCTGTCCTGGAAAAAGCACATTTCACACGTATCGCAGAAAGTGCACTATGCGTTATACAGATTGAAATTTAACAGAAACTCTCTTTCCACCGAATTAAGAATTAAGTTAGTAACGACGTTGATTACACTTCACGTGGACTACTGCTGCCTCGTCTACGACGGTTTGAGCCATGAGTTAAATATGAAGTTGCAGAGACTTGTAAATTGCTGTGTACGCTACATCTTTAATCTTAGACGTGATGAACATGTCACGCCCTACAGGCGTCGACTGGGTTGGGTCTCAGTTGAGAATAGGAGACTGTACTTTCTAGGCTGTCAGGTTTATCGTATCTTGTTCTTACAATCTCCTGCCTACCTGAGCGAGCTCTTCACTTCGCCTGACTCATCGCTTAGGAGATCCGACCGCCTTTTCGGTTCGTCTCTGACTTTTAACATACCGTTTTGTAGAACTGCAACGTATTGGAACTCTTTTCGTCCTTCTGCGATACGCTTTTGGCATTCTCTTCCTATCAACATAACATCTGCACCTTCCCTTCCATCCTTCAAAAACCTTCTCCGTTTACATTTATTCGCTGCTGAATCTGGTTAGCGGTTGCTTTGTGGCCTGCCAGTGCAATTTTCGTAGTGCAATAGTATCACTACCTGGTTATACAAATTAGTAGTCGCGTTATACATACATTAGTAGTTATATTAGTTAAGGTTATATTATACGTCTACCGGTGCAATTTTAGTTGTGCAATCGAGTTATATTCGTGTCATCAAAACACTTAGTTACATCTTGTTCATGCTTATTCTTTTCTTTTGTTTAGTTTAGTTTAGTTTAGTTTTAAGCATATTGGATGCGTTACAATGGTTCATTGTAATGCATCCAATATTGTAATGCATATTGTAATGCATTCATAGTTCTTGCGTTTTTACCTATGTATCTATGATTTTGATTTTGCCCTTTAGCAAATGTTCGGGCATAATAAATTTAATCAATCAATCAATCAATCTTTCTCTCTCTCTCTCTCTCTCTCAAGTACTAATAGAGTGGAGACAAAGAATGGATAAGAATGAAAGAATAGGAGTAATGTTTATAGACTTTAAAAGAGCATTTGAAACTATTGACAGGAAAGAATTATTAAAAAAATTGGAAATGTACGGTATAACGGGAACGGCACTAAGATGGTTTGAATCATATCTGGAGGATAGGACTCAACAAGTTAAAATTGGGAATATATTGTCTGGTAAACTTGAAATTAAGACAGGAGTACCACAGGGATCCATATTGGGGCCATTGTTGTTTATTTTATATATTAATGATGTGATTACGGTATATAAGAACAGAAAATGTAGGTTCAGACTCTTTGCTGACGATAAAATGGTATATGTATATGGTGACAATATGGATGTTATAATTCAAACCTCAAATGAAATATTGATTGCATTAACTGAATGGTTAAATAAAAATTCGTTAAAAATTAATGTTAAAAAGACTGTATTTATGGCTATTTATGACCCTAGGAAAATAAGTAAGAGAACCAATTATAATATATACATAGAAAACAAAACAGTCACAGAAGTGCAAGATACTAAATATCTAGGCATAATTATAGATAAACATTTAACTTTCGAGAAGCATGCATGGTACATGGCAAAAAAAGTAGGAAAAAATAGGGTTTTTAGGACGAATAAGGAATGTTGTAAGTAGTTATGTAAAAGTATTGATATATAAAACAATAATCGCACCGCATTACAAATATTGTAGTAGTATAATGTTAAATTTCAATCAGGGCTTGATGCAAATGTTACAAAAAACGCAAAATCGTGCAATGCGAATAATACTAAATGTGAATAGGTATACGGCGAATAAATCTATGTTGGAAGCTGTATGTTTTATGAGTGTAAAACAAAGAATGGAATATAATGTATGTATACTAGTTTATAAGATGAGGAACAATATGGTGCCAGAATATTTATCAAATGAAATAAAAAAAATTAGTGAGAGACATGCATATAACACTAGAAATAATACAAACATAATAGTAGAAAGGACACGAACACTAAAAGCACATAAGAGTCTAACGTATAGCGGGTTTCAAATGTTTAATGATATTCCAGTAAAAATACAGAATACAACGAAAATAAAAAACTTTAAAACAAAGGTAGCAAAGTACATAAAAAAGAGAGACAATAAAAGCAGATAAGTGTGTAAATGGATAGGAAAAGGTATTAATGTTATTGTTTATGTTATGTTGTAACGATGCACCCCGTGCGCTAAGCATCGTTCCCGGCAAACGACCGCCGGATGCCGCCCGACCGACGACCAGTCGGGCGAAGACCAGGGCGCGGTGCGCCCACATTTTAAACGCCTTTCAAAACGCACCGTGTGCGCGGGCCAAGCGCGGCACCGGTGCCTCCCGACGAGCGACGACGGGAGCCGAGCCGCCCCGAGGACGAGCGCGGCGCCGCGCCTCCCCACCACAGCGCGACGATCGGCGCTCCTAGCAAACCCGCCGCGCCGGGCGGGTATATAAACCGCCGTTCCGAGAAAAAGAGACTTTGTCTAGAGATCCGCTTCCAAGACGAAACCTATTCCCGACTCCTAGGGAACACGCCAACGAGGTCCGGTGCTCCGAGCCTCGACTGAGAGCTCTCAGGTGTTCCCGCACTCCCTCAGAACTCACCCCGAAGGCACGGTTACGCGGGGTCGAGCGCGCTCGGCCTCGCAACGAGGGCTCTTGCTGCCGCCGCCCCGGGGCTCCGGAAATCTCCCTACGCTACGCGTTCCCGCACGTCATCGCGATACCGCGACATCCGCGAGCCTCCAGGCATTATACCGCGTCCGCCTCCATGTCATACGTCTAGGTAATATACCGAGCCCGTGTAATACGTCTATGTAACGATACCGCGTTCGTTGTTAAATACCGCGCCGTTATCAAGTGC